TGTTCCTCAAGCTTAGTATTTTTATGAAGTCCGTGGGTTATAATAATTCTCATCAATTTGAAGGCATAAATGACAAATTATTTACCATCCTAGAAAACCAGATTAAGTTCACAAACTCAGGTGGCTCTGAGTTCCTTTCACTCTTACAATAAAGCAGTTCAGAGAAAGATAAATAGAATAAAATTATTCCTTTTGGAAAAATATAAAAATTTCATAAAAAATCTGTTTCTAGCTCGTCAGTATGGAATTTGTCACTAATCATTTTAAACTATGCCCTTTTATGCTTCTTCTGTCTCTTTTAGCTTTCTGAGTAGGTCTTTGATGTAACAAAGACAGTTTCAGACAAGATTTCAGTTCATCTGGAAAAAAAAGGTTTAAGTCTGGAGGCAAAATGCAGTGTATTTAAAATTTATATACTCTATAATGCCTTTGTTCTGAACTTGAAGATCCTGAAAAACTTCTAAGCTTCTTTGCCTCCCTCCTCTAAGCTCATTTGTTGTTCCCTTGCTTATTATCATGCAACTGTGACTTTAACGGGGGCGGGGGGGGGGGGGGGGAGGGGGGGGGGGGTTCCATCCTTTAACTACATGCAGAGTCATGGCTGACCCTTTCTGATCAATTGCCAATCCATACAGGTTTGACTGATAAAAGAGCCAATTAGATTTAAGCAAATTAAGGGACATCACCAATGTCAACCACTTATTAAACTGAATGCTGAATTCCATGCATACAAAACACTAATGCACTGAGCCCCATTAAGAGTTGAAATCCTAACCCCATTAGTAACTCCAGACCTTGAAGGGGTAAAGGTCACAGGAAAGTTTCATATTTATGGATTAACATTTGGATTCCATTTTTATTTTTTTAATTTTTTTTCCTAGAACTCTTGAACCTTCACTATAATGCTATTCGAGAGCTCAGATTAAATATACTCTTCATTTCTATGAATATCCTAGTGCTAAATATGAGCATTATGTTATTATAAACAACCAAATAATATAGTAGTTGTAGAAATACAAAAACCTGAGCATGGAAGTGGTTAGAGATATGCTACAGAAATGAAGGAAAAATAACCCCCCAGACTCCTCCAGTTGACCAAATAATATTTCAAACAAATTTTTAAAATAAAAAGTGTGTGCGATTGGGATTTGCCACTGTGCATTTTTGTGCTGAGCTCTTGGTTCCATGATCCCACTTGCCTTAATTTCCATCTTCAAAATAACTTGTGTTTATCAGATTGTTTAATCATATTCTTTTTTTGCTTGTTTAGTCGAAGTTGAGAGCCTTATTTTTTTTAACAAAATTAATTTTCTTAAACAACACAAGAGCAATGAAACAAGGAGATCTGATGCAATTAACTAGGGTTTGAGATTAGATCTTGTTAGACCGGTTTTTAAAATTTTTTTTCCAGCTTTCCTGAGGTATAAACTGCATATTTGTCATTACTTTTTCTCATCAGAAAAATAGAGAAAGCTTGTATCAAATAAGATGTTTCATAACCATCAAATAAGAGATGATTTACCAGGGTAAAAGTTTTTGTACCCTGTGCCCTCCCTCACCTCTTCTTTCCAAATTCCTGTGTAAATTATCCATTATTCTATGCTTACTTAAATAACCACCAGAGGGAGGGAATTGAAGAGCGATGGGTTGGTACAATTTGAGAGTATTTCTTACCTCTGATCTCCTGCCCTCTGATCTGGGCCCCCAGTTACATCGGCATAAGCACAGTACTCCTACATTGGACAACAGTGTGCAGAGGGGGTCATATTCTCCATAGCTGGTTACAACAGAAGGTTGCTCAGATAGAAGATGAGGCACGAACAAGCCTGAGCAATGAGAAGCTTGCAATTTAAAACTGTTAATTAAGCTATCTGGACTGACTGATGGATTGATTCATTCACTCACCGATTATTCATTATGCACCTACGATGTGCCAGGTTTGGTCTAGGCACTGAAGATCAAAACTCGAATATGAAACTTCCTCCTGTGTAGGATCTTATAACCAGTGATTGTGACAGTCCCATCAGACAGGCCATTTCACTATAATAGGATTGTACTCTAGGACACCTAGGGGCCCTATCTAGGCCTCGGTTGGTAAAAGATAACTTTGTGAGGGACTTTTTCTAAGCTGAAACCTTAAAAATAAGTAGGACGTGGCCAGATCTAGGGGGTCAAGGCAGTTTTCCAGGCCACATTTGATAGCAAACATTTGATCGAGGAAAAAAATAGCATGTCTATTTTGTCCAAGCCTTCTGTTATTATATTTTTAAACTACACTGAGAAGAAAACATAACTAAGGGTATTATCATAACAAATCTTGCATAATCCAGCACTGAAAGTAAGAATTCCACATCACCAAAAAAGAGACCTAATATTGAAATCAAGGAAACGGCAGAAATGGTAACAATCCAAATATAATGGAAAAGTAAATAGCATATAGAACCTTCTCTGCCCATAAGTTGGTTCACTCTTGTACATCGGTTCATTTATTATTCATTTCGGTATGAAGCACAGTTCACTGGACAAAGGCATGGAAGATTTCTTTAATAACTCTCAGTACTAATTTAATTCTACTTAAACACACATATTCTAGAGAATGCCACATGCTTTTCAGCATGATTTTATGTGTAAATCAGGATAATATGTTTTCAGATCATTAAGTAAAAGGAAGCATGAACTAAAACCTATTTAATCAATGAGGTGTCACCTTTAAACTGCCACAAGGTCATAAAAAAGATAATTTCAAAGCTATAAGTTTCCTAATTGTAATCAACAACAATCTAATGATTAAAAAAAAAAGTATGTCTTGGGCGCCTGGGTGGCTCAGTTGGTTAAGCGACTGCCTTCAGCTCAGGTCATGGTCCTGGAGTCCTGGGATCGAGTCCCACATCGGGCTCCCTGCGCAGCAGGGAGTCTGCTTCTCCCTCTGACTCTCTTCCCTCTCGTGCTCTCTATCTCTCATTCTCTCTCTCTCTCAAGTAAATAAATGAAAAATCTTTAAAAAAATAAAAATATTAAAAAAAAAGTATGTCTTAATGGCTGCAATAAACTTGAGCAAATCACTGTCTGTCTTTGAAGACATTTTGCTTCCTCTTTTGGTGAAGGGCCATCTCCCAAATTATGGATTTCTGATTTTAGAAAGTGAATAACTGCATCACGCCCAGAGAGTACGGCCCTGCAGAAGAGCATGGTAATGGCAAGAATAAGCGTCCACAGAGTAGAGATAAAAGTAAACTCAGCAGTTGACTTCAGTTCGATTGTGCCGCTAGAAAGAAAATTTTAGTTCTTCCTGTTTGCCTAATATTAACTCTTCTAACCACTGACAGATACAGGCACAGACCGTATGCTGAGTTTGCATGAGAAGCTTGCTATGTTTAACTGAATTGTATATATACGTGCACACAGAGATAGTGACCCCAAATTATTAGGCATTCCGAAGTGCATGAACAATGAATTAAATTTGCCCTACTTTATGAATGTGATGTAACTTGAGATGGTTTGTAACTTACAAACCATATAAATCAGTATGAATGCCATAAAAGGAATATATAACTCATTAAATTCCTACACATCCTGTTAAGAAGGTATTGCTGTGTAATTTAAAAATTTCCATAAGGCACTAATCACTGTTTAATTTCTAAATGTGAATAAAGGGTATTATATACTAAGGTATAGAGTCATCAAATGTTCTATCCTTTCCAGCATGTTGAGTTAGATTAAAAAATGAAGATACGAATACCTAAGGTTTCTTTGCTTGATTTTGTTTTGTTTTGGTTTTTTGGTCTCAATTCTTAAACAAGTTCCTATCTAAATCCAATTCCCATTTTTTATTACAGGTTTATGAAACATGACACTGAGTTGTTCAGCTCCAACTGTCTCTCTCAAGCATTCTTAAACAATGTGGCTTCTGCCATTTAGAGTTTCAGGTGTTTTGGTAAACATCTATTCATTAAGTCTTATAATGTCATGAAAGGTAGATAACAGTGAGTGGTTTTAATGATACAGCGGGTATTAAATCTTTCCTGGGGAGAAGCGGTCTATACAAACCACAGATTAACTCTTCACTGTCCTCTCCTGATGAGGTTTTTGCTGCTTTTATATACCCTTTGTGATGGGAGAGGTATTTATCCAGTCCTGCTGTTCAACAACATAGCGACATTCTCCCCTAGTCCAGAGCACACTGGTGTTTGAAGCTGAGCTACAAGACAGCCATTGGGTTTGGAGTCCTATACCTTTAGTATTTTCAGAAAACAGACATTCCTGAACTCTCCATTGAGAATCACGATCTTATTATTTTGAGGCATGCTTTTTTGTTCAAGGGATCTCCATACCAATCTAACAGGGAGTTTTCTTCTTAGCAATTAGTCCCACCAATAGTTAAAACAAGGGTGAAGTTGACTTCAGATCAAAATAATAATTCTAAATAAGTTAAATCAGTTACTTATACAGATAGTTAAAATAAAAATATCTGGGCTGTATCACATTTCAAGTATAAAAGTGACACTACTGAACTCTAATCATTAGGACATGGAAGTTAAAGGCATTTTTCCAGTGGTGTGAGTGGCTCTCCTTTTCTATTGCTGCACACAGCCCTTTTTTTGGCAAATGGAAAGGTATAGATATATAAGGTTCTTCAAAAAACCAGGAAGGAGAACCAAAGCTCAAACTGAAAATACAAGTTTTGGATTTAAATGAAGTCTCAAACAAAAAAAAATTTCCTACTCTTTTTAACATGCAAAGCAAGAGATACATATGTATGGTATATATCTTTGCATACACACAGTACAAGATGAAAGTGGTCTCCACAGAACAATAAAAAAATCAATAGAAGGGTCTCAACCAAACAAAACAACCACAACCCAAACAACCAGAAATACGATTGAGCCTCTAAGTTCTAAAAAAAAAAAAAAATTAATTTTCACAATAAACAAGCACTCAGTGGAGACTTAGTAGTAGAGCATTTATATAAATCTGTGTAGCCAAGTTGTTCATAGACTTACCCCCTGGTGGCATTGCAAATGTTACAGGATCGCTCATCAAGCTGCCTTGGCTATTTGAAACATTCACTTGTACAGTATAGTTAGTAAAAGGAACCAACCCCTTAATGAGTACCCAACGGTTGGTCTCCTCACCACGGTGCATGACTTGTGTGCCATTCAGAAGAGTGTAGTTATTATCTGCTGATAAAAAAGGAAAATTTTGAAAATTAGTGTATATTTAAGAGTTCACTCATTCATCACAGTGATCAAAATAACTGAACTGTTATTCTAAGAGTAAAGCTGTTCACAAGTATCATGCATGTAAGGGAAACTTCAACACAGACATATTAATTATCCCATGATGGATTATTTACAATTGTTTGAGGGTTTTTTTTTTCATCCTTGGATTTTATATGATGTGCAAACTGGAGGAAATCACACTCTTTCCCCCATCTAGAGTGGTTCTGGCTATAAATAGTATATTCACATTATACATGGCAGATATTTCATTTGTTATCAGTTGGGGTAACTGTTGCTTGTTTTCCTTGAGAGGTAGGTACAACACTTTCCTATTACCTCTTTAAATCGGAATTGGCCAGAATATGCTGAAAAGCACTGTGTCTACTTTGATCAGAAGGTCTGTTTTTAGCTCCATGCCAAACCACAGAGGCTGCCTGACTGTGTACAAGGATCACCATCAATGTACTGTCACTGAGCTCCACCACCACCACCCTTCCAAAACTTGAGCAAACCCATTCTCAAGTACAGCATGTCTAAGCTACAGAAAAATTCTGCTGCTCACTAATAGGGTTTGATCTCCCTCTCCCACACAAATGAATTATGTTCAAGGTTCAGAAGACTCAGAAATTAGGCTTAAAACAAGGAAAAGATTACAACTGAAAATCCTGTCCTAACATTTATTTCATTGTCTACATTCGACGCTTCCCTGAAAAGGTTACATGAGGCAAATTTTTCAGAATATTGCTGAAATTTAGTAAAATTTAGTTATTATTCCTAAAACACAGAAGAGTCACGAAGAATAGTAATATTTACCTCAAATAGCCTTTTTTCTTTGCCAAAACACTTTTACTGTATGTCCCTTTAATCCCCCCCACACAAATTCTACAAATATAGGCAAATGAATAAAAAACACACATGGTGTTAGACTTTAAGGGGAGAGCATATTTGCAATATTTCCAGATAATGATACAATCTTTATTGGTTAAATGTTTAAAAATTAAAAGATGGCCACATACCAATAATGATCTTGCATTGTATGATAAACAGAATTTAATAGTTGCAATATTTACCAAAAATATCATATTTTGACACAGTTTTGTAGCAGAATATAGTACAAGGAAAAGTACATGAATTTGGTTGTCAGAAAGTTCTGCATCTGAGCCTGTCCTTATCATTCTTGAAGAGTGTGCTCTTTGTTAAGTTACTCAATATGTCTGAATCTCCTGTTTTTCATCTGTGAGCTGGGAATAATAATACTTTGATTGCAGTGTTACTGTGGAGATTAAGTGAGATCATTTCTTTACATTACCCAGCATATAACAGGTATTCATCTACAGCAACTAGGAAGTGTGACTGTTTTTGCTGTAATACAACTGATACATTCCACATAAACATTTACAACTAGCAAGTAATTAAGAATTATACACTCTGTATTTTACTTCCTCCGTAGCAATTACCTACCTGTTACATTTTCCCTCTCTCCCACCCAACATGTATATTAATCAAAATTCTAATTTTTTTCAATGAACAAAACATTAATCACATCCGTTACCACTAGGTCATTGTCCCATAAGGTTATACGTCAAACTCTATAATTAATAAAGGATCAAATGATGTGAAAGAGGATCTCATATCTAATGAGCATTTTCATGAAATGTGGGTAAGGCAGACAATAACTTTAAAAAAACACAAATTTAAAAAGATACTTATAATAGCTTTGGGAAGAAGGATGTAGCTGAAAAAAAATTATTGCTGCAAAATACACAGGTATAAGTTAAGTGTTTTCCATAACCAGAAGAAATCCCTAGTGTCATGCAAGAATTTATTACTCTGAACTTGAAATTGGCATAAAGGAGGGATTTATTCCCAAGGGAATAAATGGTACTTAAGGGCTGAAACATGGGGATAATAATTTCTATTCTGTTTTAGTAAAATAAAATAATGTTCACTGCTTGAGATTTAAGTTCCTAAAATGGAAATAGACACCACAGATGTCTATGTGGAACACATAATCAACAAGAAGTTCTGAAACCTCAGAAGTGGCCTCGAAAAGACATTTCCAAATGACACTCTATTAACGCTCACAGGTTCTTTGTAACTAGTCAACCTGATTAGACAGATTATTGACTCCAACTGCATGCAGAGAGCAGGCTTTGCTAGGTTCTGATAACAATATGCTCAAGATGTACAAGACATCGTTCCTGCACTCAAGAAACCTGGTTCAGGACGCCTGGGTGGCTCAGATGGTTGGGCATCTGCCTTCGGCTCGGGTCGTGATCCCAGGGTCCTGGGATCGAGTCCCGCATCGGGCTCCCTGCTCCTTGGGAGCCTGCTTCTCCTTCTGCCTCTCTCTCTCTCTCTCTCATGAATAAATAAATAAAATCTTAAAAAAAAAAAAAAAGAAAGAAACCTGGTTCAGATTTACTCTGAATCCCTGGTAAGCACTGTCGAAGAAAAATTACATTATCTGCATTTGAAGACTTCAAGTTCCCATAATGTCTGAAGTCGTGTACCAGTGCACACCTTACAAAAAATTGAAGATTGCGAAATAATGATGAGGGTTCTAAAATTAAGCCAAGAGAATACAATTTTACAAATTTCAAGCCAGGTGCAAGAACAAGGAGTTAACATCTATGATTTTAATATTGGTGAGGGTTTTTTCCCTTATATTTTGTTTGTTTCTGAAGCAAATTTCCAGCTGTAAAGCAAACACTGTTGCTAGCTTTGAAAATGGCATGGCAGGGGCAAATATATTAAATACCACTTTATTCTAAGTTTCCCAGATAACATTAATACATGGTAATTATACAATTAGTTGTAACATTAAGTTCTAGTTATAGAACAATGATTACTCAGTAATTATAAGAAGTATATAATTACTCAATAATTATGAGAAGTATGCAATTACATAACCATTTTGTTCAGCTCAAAAAAGAACTTGTGTATCTCCAGGAACCACACAGCTGAGTGAGTCCAGTGCATGCAGCTCGCATGCAGCTCCTAATCCCCGCTCACATGCAGCTCCATTCATAGGCCTAGAGCAACTGGGAGGATTTTAACCCTCGGTAAAGCTCACAAACCCCCAGATTCAAAACCAAAACCGGATCCACAGATTTGGGCTCTTTCTCCACTTTATTCTGTCTTCTCTTTCTTCCTTTGAACTAGGCCAGTTTGAGTTCTGAGATCTTGGGGGAAAATTCTTAAAATGCAAGTCCTCAGATACCCCGCTCTTGAGAGGGTCTCGCTTTACTGCTTTTCACTGCATAAACTTTGTTTTCAGTGGGCTGGAAAATTCAGCCCCGTTGGTTCGGCCTTAAGAATCAGGCTAGAAAATGCTAAAATGATAAGCATTTCCTATCATAGGTGACCATTTCTGTCTGGTCACCCTTGGCGCTGACCCTATTTGTAAGTATAAGTGGACGGTGCAGGCCCAGTTAAGCTCCTGTGTTCTGGAACGACAGCTTGTCGTCACCCTGCCCCCAGGCACTGAGTTTGAAGTAGAGTTCCCCGCATCCACCTCTTTGGCTGTGGTCTGCACCACTGGGCTTTAACCTGGGGGTCACACTAAGCACTTCTCAGGTAGGGTCGTCTACACTAGTGTTTCAGGGTCCACCTACATCAAAGTCATATGGTGATACTTCATCAAAATCCACAGAGCTGAGTTCCTGTCCAGACCTACCAAATGAGACTATTTGAAGGCAGGGCCCAGGAATCACTGGTGATTCTTCTTAAGCATGTAGAACAACACATTTTAGGGTTATTTAATCCATGTTCAAGCTAGTCTTAAAGTAATGATCAAAATTCATTCCCTCTGTTTCCCAAAATAATTAGGTCTCTTTTGACATAATGATGCTTTCAGACTCTAGCTTTGGGCTATAAAATGTTTAGTTTCTTTGTGAAATAATTCATCTTCAGAAAGTATAGAGGGGACTCTTAAACCAGATCTATCTTTACAGACTAAAAAATCTGGTAAATTGTTCTATAAGAAACATTTAAATATACATAAAATAATTTTTTAAAATGAGTAGTCATTTTGCACATCAGAGAACCATCACTTCAGGATTTCTGGTAAGTATTTCTCTCTCTCCCTTTCAATTTCACCACTGAAGATACAGGGGAAGGAGAGATCCTTTGTATATTGTCTGACATCACATATCACAAGCAAAAATAAATAAATAAATAAATAAATAAATAAATAAATAAAACAAAAAAACAAACAGAAAAAAGAAACAAGTTTTGTGTAGATCATGTAACATTTTCAAATAAACTCTTCGATGCTGCGTCAGGCTATTCTACATTCTAAGAAGTTAATTCATTCAGTCTTAGTTTTCTACTTTATTCTGAAGAAGAAAGTGTTAAATTGGGAAACAGCCAACATAAATCTATGCCCAGCGATTTTACTTGTAAAGAACATTTTCTTAGCTTCAGATATGAAATCTTACAAAAATGTTAATAGCATTCATGCCCATTTTTTAGGGCTAAAAAATCTTACATTTAATGTTATTGGTTGAATAGCGGGATATTTTCTATGCAATTTTTTTTAAGCAAAAACCAGTGTAAATAGAGACATATGATCCAGGGATGCGTAAATGATTGCTGTCCCAGGAATATCGTCCTACAGGGTTCTCCAGATTGATATAACATAAATGGGTATCCTTTCCCATTCATGTTATAATCATTGTCACAAGAATTTTAATGCACCATATATTCTATTTTTTTTTTCCTCTGTGCTGTACTGCTCTGACCTTTTCAATATTCTATAATTTGACTGGCCGGCCATTTCAGTTCTCTCCTTTTTACAGCCTTATTAACTTGTGGAAAAGAGGTGAAATGAACAACCAATCAGAATACATAATATTGCAAAGGTCAGCGTTGTCTTGTACAGTATCATCACATGCAGCAGGACTGTATGCCAGGCATTAACATCCTGATATCTTATTCATGTGACAAAGATTGTAACA